TGGTGGTTTAGCCACAGGCTCTGCTTGTGAAAGGGATATGCTACTTAATACAGCACAGTTTACAATACAAAGCACGGTACAGAGCTGCTAAACTGCATTACCAATTATTATTATTATTTACGTCTATCCAGCACTGAACTCCTACTGTAAGAGAGGATTCACCGCAGGTTTACACCACTAAGATCATCACAAAATGAGTCCCAGGACTATCCTTGACAATTCATACTGTTGTTACGGGTAATGCACATGACATACTTTAAACAGGGCCTCAAAATTTGATAGAGGATAAAATGGATGTATCCAGGAAAAAGCAGGCTGCCTTGGAAAGCTGGAAAAGCTCAGCTACACTTTTATTTATTCTTCATAAATCCTTCTGATTAAGTAGAAAGCAAAGCAGGGCTGGGGGGTGGGGCGGGGGGTGGGGAGGGAACCAAAAAAAAAAGCAAGTTTCCACAACTCCAGTCCCATTTCCTGAAACTCCCAGATGGCAGATGCTTCAGGCTGAAATCCACTCGTTCCTCCTTTTCTTTTAGAGCAGCAAAGCACCCCAGCTACACATCCAGCCCTCATAGCAGCACAGTGAGACAGAGAGACAGTGGCTCAGGTCCTCCAAAATTGAACATACAACTCTTGTATCCACAACTTTTATAATAACAAGGACTGTTACTATTGAGGCTGCAGGTTAAGAGCTCAAAATACAAATGAGAGAGGGCTTACTAGCAACCAGCAATTCTGGTCCCATATCTCATCTTATTTAACTGGACTGTTCAGCCACACAGCCATTTTGTCATTTACATTGTATCCCCACTGGGATCACACCTTAACCACTTTGAGATATGTAGAAAATGTAACCATCCCTTACTTTCTGGCAAATGTTTAATAAATAGATAATAATAATGATTAAAAAAAATAAAAACAACAACAACAAAAAAATCTGAAAGGCTTCAAAAGTCTTCCATGCTACAAATTGATGGCTGTGGGAGTTCTGGATCAACAGTCACAGCATCAGCCATTTTATCCAGTCTACACTGGCCGTTAGCCAGCTCAATCTGAAATGGTCCAAAGTAAACCAGTAGTTAGCTCTTGCAAAAACAAGTCTAATTTAAATAGCGTTCCATTTGCAGGCAAAGTGTTTTGCTATCGGTACCTAGACACAAGCCATCCACAGAAGTTCAAACCATTTTTAGAATTGAGAGCTATATAAGAAACTACTCAAAAAAAAAAAGCTAGAAGCTAAGTTTGTTAAGTAAACAGTTCACTAGAAACGATTTGTCTAGTTACGGTAAGTAAACCAGACATTTCCTTTCCCTATTCCAAAGATTAATATTCCAAATGCTTCACAATGAATATAATGAAAAACACTTGAAAACTAAAGGAAGTTCACTGTATTTGTCTTTTCCAAACTCACTGCTACATTGATCAACAATTAAACTGCAAACCAGGATTCCTGGAAATTAAAAGCTCATTAGAATTAAAATATAATGCTAGAATCGGCAAACTATTTATTCCTCCTATCTGGAATCAGTTCCACCAGCTTTAAATCAATATGTACTTGGGATTATGGACTTCAGGAACCTGGGAGAAGTTAAATCCTGTGATTTTTCACGGCAAGAAAGATTATGGCATCTGCACTTTGACACACGTGGTCCTCCGTACTCTCATCCATGTGAGCAGAAAGCCTGCCCCTCAAGAGAATAAACTATGTTGGAAAAGAACTTGAGCTATACCCAAATTTGCTAACAAATTTGCATATTTTACCATATAGGGAGAAAATAATAATGAATCAGGATAATAAATTTGAAAACAAAGGAATTCATTGTAAGCAGCAACCATGTGGGAAACATTTGATTCATTTGAGCGTTTAGTAAAGAACATAAAATCTCCTGAACCAATCTTAAAAAGTTTCAGTTATTGCATGATCAGTAGGACAACACCATGAACAAACATGTAATATATCTACTTTTAGAAAAATAGTTTTTCCGCTTACCAAATGCAAAACTGATCAAGTCAATAAGAAAAAAATTCAAAAACTGAATGTGTACCTCCAAACACTCTTAATTTACTGTCAGTTAAGTGTACAAAGAAAATATTCAGCGTAATAAACTTCCCCTATAAAGCTTGTTTATAATTTGGATCAGATTATTTAGACATTGCCTTTCTAGCTCTATCTTCTACTTATCACAAGTGGTAAAATTAAAAAAGAAAACTGAGTAGCATCTTTAAATTTGCTGCCAGTTTAACAGGCTACTCTAACTTTCCTAAACTCTTAACTTACACAAAATAACAAATGAACTTTCCAGTAAATCACAGAATCATAGAATGGCATAAGCTGGAAGGGACCTCAGAGATCATCTAATCCAACCTCCATGTCATGGGCAGAGACGCCTCTCAACTAGACCAGGCTACTCAAGGCTCCATCCCATCCGGCCTTGAACACCTCCAGGGAGGGGGCATCCACAACTTCTGTGGACAATTTATTCCAAAGTCTTACCACCCTCGTACTGAAGAATTTCTTCCTAAAATCTAATCTAAATCTGTTCTCCTTCAACTTAAACCCATTTCCCCTTGTCCTATCAGTGGACACTCTTGCAAAAAGTCCCTCCCCAGCCTTCCTGTAGGTTCCCTTCAGGAATTGGAAGGCAGCTATTAGGTCCTCCCGAAGTCTTCTCTTTTCAAGGCTGAACAATCCCAGCTCCTGCAACCCGCCTCGTAGCAGAGGTGCTCCAGCCATCACACCACTATCTCTTGTGACGATGCCTGCTGTACAAATCCTGCCGAACCTCCACCTTGCAAAAGGGTCCCTAAAATTCTTCAGCCATCAAATTTTTAAAATAAATACGCAGGTTAAAAGCTGAAAGAAAATTCTGGAGCAGATATTCCAACGTGATTTAGTAACAACAGTGTGAATCCATGCGCGAATCTCTCCAAGCTCACACTCGGCTACCTCCCCAAGGTTGCCTGTCTGCAATCGGGGCTTTTTATCCCTGACTTAAGACTTGGTCCCATGCCTTCTTTCCAGCAATTGTTTTAGAGCTGTGACCCTGCTCTGCTTAACGCTAGCGTGGAAGAGCTTGGTGGCTGCTGTGAGCTAGATTCTCAGCTGCTCTGATCATGCTCTTGTCACAGGAGCAAAAGAAGAGGAGGAGGGGGAAAGAAACAGAGTGAAGCAATGGAAAAAGTGGGATTTGAACATGTTTGAGCTTCCTGTTCTCTGTAACAGGGAGAAATCTATCTGGCCTCCAGTGAGAATGTTCAAGCATTGCTGTGCTACGAGCTATCATCTGGCATCTGCAGCAGCACTGTCTCTCTATCCTTCCATCGCACAGACAGCGCTGACACCAGGGATATATCTGGCACCAAGCCTCTTGTTTCAGTTCTCCAGCATGTACAAGAAGGTCTCCTGTTAAGTACTTCCCTCAGGGGCCCCTTTTCCAGCTTCCTCCATATCACTTACTTCATGGAACAAGATCACGTTCTGGTCCTTACTGGCCACTTTATTTCTGGAGCTGCTTTTGCTCCCCCTCTGTCGCACACTCCCAGCCTGCAGCCATGTCCTGCCCTCACCGCAGCTGAGCAGGGAGAGGACAAATGCTTGCCTAAAAGCCTGTCAGCTCCCAATAGCATTTTTTTATCCCCTCGAGGCAGCAGAGCTATGAACAACTCTTACATCTGCAAATCCATTAAAAAAAGTAACGCTTGCTCCAAGAGCAATCTACTATTTTTATGAATGAAGAAAAATGGAAACAAACTCTCTCAAATAAACAGGGATGGGGAAAAGCAACATGCAACTTCCAGCATGTCACAGCAGCTACTTTTGCATGCCTACTCAGACTAAAATGTAAAGGCAACAAGCCAGGTTTGCTCACCATTCAACAAACATTACAACCAAGTCCTTTTGATCAGCATAGCTTTCCATGCCTTCTTTCAGCAGTCGAACTTTCTGCCCTCCACCAATAGAGTTAGGCAGCTCACCACCTTTCCATTCTTCACCTTTTCCAAGCACCTGGAATAAGAAAAAAAACCACTTTTTGCTAGTATTCAAAAACAAGAGGCTTTTTAAAGGAGACCCTTATTGAAAACAGATGTTAACAGAGAAGTAACACATTGAAGCATAGCAAGCCAGCAATTCCAGCATCATAATTTTTCCATGTCTGAAGCAGCATTCAGCACAATGACATCACTGCAAAAACATGAGAAAGACATTTCTTAACCAAATAAGAATCAAGCAATTGCCTGCTACCACCATTTATTCAAATGTGTCTCCTTCAGAAAAAAGCAAAAAGCTAATAATTGTTTCAAAATTTGTATTAGAAAAACATTCTGAATGAGACCTTTAAAAGTTAACATAATCACTTTAGGAACAGGAAGGGTAAGAGACCTTGGTGGATCAGGGTATTGCTAATATAAACTGCAAACTCCAGTTTTTCTGAAATCCCTCTGGAACACTTCTGAATAAGGAAAGGATAGGTTCCCCAATATACAGCTGGCTGCTAAAATCAGTTAAACAAAACTCCTCCCTAGCCAAGCGCTATAGTGAATTACATGTTAAAAAAAAAAAAAACAAACCAACCCACACCCACTTTTTGTGGGTTTTGAACACCATGTTTTTGGAACTTATAAAATCTGGAAGACTACATGGCATGATGTTTTGGACAAATCTGCAAAGCCAATAGGCTTTGTACCTAGAGCTCAGGCTTCTGGGGTGCTTTAGTACAGCATAGTCATACTAGGAAAGGTTCTCAGTCTTCCAAGTTCAGTGGTCAAGCTTCAAGTCAAACTTCAGAGACAAATAATTTTCAATCTATAGTGTAGACAGTGTAGTAAGTAAGCAGAAAAAAATCATAACACCATCTGAAGTCCTCAATTTTCTCTTGTAAAACATATTTGTGGGGAAAGTTTAGAGGAAGGTTAGTGACCTCCCTTTTTCCCAAGGCCACCAGGAGGTCAACCTCAGTACGTGACATATGGAGACGTGGAACAAGACAGAAAAGGCTGGCAAGAATGGTAGAAACATTTTGTCCTCTCGGAGAATTACAGGTTCCTGGGAAACACAGTGAAACTTTGAGTTGCAACTCCTTCCCCGCAGCAGGGATCCAGTCTTGTTTAAGGTGGAAAGACTCATCCAAAGCCTTCTCAGTGCAGTGCAGCATCTAGAAGCATTCATGCCAACAAAATCAGCCACACTGAAAAACAAGGCTACCTGATAAATCATGACAGAACCTGTAAGAGACTGAGGACACTGATCACAATAGCTACTAACCTGTAAAACAGTCCCAAAGGCAGTGGCATCCTCCCATGGTCATTCAGAGGGGGACCAGCAGGTACGCAACAGGGACATCAGCAGGGCCACATGCAAGTGCCCTACCCATCCCCCAGCTCTGTAATCGTTTTACCGTGCCCCAGCACGCAAAGAAGCAAATGCAACTTCAGTTACTACCTCTCTGTTTCTGTCTTAAAGGCTGTATAGCATGAATATTTGGTATGAAAACATACAATACCTTTACTGTGTAGTTGAAGTGCTTTGCGGTTCGCATGAAACGATGAAAGCCATCGGTTTCTTTAGTTGCTACAGTAAAAACTAGTAGCTTATCTGAGGGAGAAAACAAAAGAACATGTATTACTATGTTTTCAGGCCACAGTTTGTAACAAAAACAATGCACTGAACAGCAGCGAATCAGGGGAGCTTTATGGCTTGCCTACACCTCACTCAAGAAGAGGCAAATACACTGTAATGTTATAGGCATGAGACATTACCAAGCAAGAACTGCTACGGACAAGGGTGTTGTATTTAAAATGATCCTCAGGAAGAGGAAGCAAAGAAATCTATCTACTCTGTAAACAGCTAGCTCAAGGCATGAAAGCAAAGTTAGTGTGGCTACTGGACAGGAAGGAATCTTCAAAACGAAAATAACTCAGTACCTTTCAGTTTGAACTAATCCTGTGACCTGTTATCATAGGACTGAATGGTACCAGAGAACTTCACCCAACCTCACTAACTCCCCTGAAAGCAAGGTGGTTTGTACTTTTCATGAAAACAGGGAAAAAAAAACAACTATGGACACCAGTCCCTCAAGAGTCAGCGTTTAGTGCTTTTAAGTCCTTGGGCAGAGACAAAAAAGCAAGAGGTTTTGTCTTTTTATTCAGAGCCTCTGTAAATTATAGCAGTGCTATTTTTGCCCTCTTACTGCATGCAAGCAAATGACCATGCAACCAATTTCCTTTTCATATCCCAGGGCTTTTGACATAGTTCAAAATGAGGCCATGAATTCCCACTAAACAGCTTCCTGACTAAACAACTGAACAGCATTCAGCACCCTACGCAATACACTGCATAACCGAGGTACGTAATTCAACGCTATGAGAAACACAGTACCCCTATCCAACATAAAGTATTTAATCAGACCAGCCTGGATCCCAGGGCACATAGCAGTTCCTCAATTTGGTCTGAGTTCAAGCAACAGCTGCCCTCTAAGCAGAGTCCATGAGATCAATCTTCACAAGAAAGTAAAATTAGTTGCCTCTAATTAGCATTCCAGACACAGTGCCTGTTGTTGTTTCACTTTCCCACAAAACATCCTCTGAGTTTATCTTCACCAGCACAGCAACATGTGCTGGAAGTGGCTGCTGTGAAAAACACTCCTACTAACCCTTCAGCCTTGCCCACCACCACAGACTTAGCAGCCCTCAGAGACTTGAGATGTCATCCTGAGCGTAATCAAATCAATCACCGCTTGCCATTTCATTTTATTTGACACCAGTAAAATTAACACACAAGATGATGATCTGCTTCCCACTTTGTAGAAGAAGTGCACCTTGCAAGTTACTCATGAGATGCTCTGCAGCCAAGTACCAGGGCACTTCAAGCATGCCTCTGCTCAGTGAAGCAAAAAGACCTGTAGGAGCACAGACATAGTTTGCAGAGCAACAATAAAAAATTACTTGTTCTAATGAAATTCAAGTTGTCTAAAATAGCCACAGCACGCAAACAAGGCTCCAATTCAGCCCTACTCAACAGGTCACTTCCAAAAAACACTCCTACCAGGTCAGACAACGGTCTGGACAATCCATCCTCAATAGCACCTACAATGGCATACATGAGGAAGAGCAAGGATAAGACAAGCATATATGACGCCTTCTCTGCTTTTTCCACCAGTCTCAGTTTATGGGTTTTCCTGACCTGGATGGGGTTTCTGTATATTCTGAAACACCTGGTCCACTTTATGACCTTTTATTACCTACTCACTCCTTGAACTGATGTAACCTTTAAGAAGTGACTGCACCATGTGCCCAGTATCTACTCCATGTGCCTTCAGCAGGGCTCCTACAGTCTTTATCTTACACTGCCCAAGTTCTTCAACAACAGACAATGTTTCTACCTGCCCTTCCCACCATGCATCATTTTGTGGATTTCTTTCACATCCTGTCACGGTTTGGTTTTGGGTTTTTTTGGCTCCTTTTGTTCAACAGTCCTAGTGAAGATTTAACTGCTGGCTCTACTGAACCAGACTGACACTCCTGCAATACAATACACAGCAAAGAAGAAACCGAAAATACTTGAAATGTTTCGGTCAACTCAACTTGAACACCCACAAATTTGGGGAAAACAGTTTTAGAAGATGAATTGCTCCATCTTTTTCTCAGTTAAGTGCTAGCAGTCTTTTGTAGGCAAGAATCAGGAGAATAATCCCATGAGTACATCTCAGACGGGCAGCAGGACCTCCACAGAGGATTCCAGTGCAATGAGTTCACAGACACACTGACTCACAGATAGACATAAATACAGCAGTAATAGCTCAGTACCTTCAAAATCGTTTATTCTAAAGGTCATTCAATCTAAAGTAATTCTCCAGGAGTCACCACAGAATTTATAAAGAACATGATATCTTAGAATATAACTAAGACAGAACTGAAGACAGAGGACAGGATTTTTCTCTATGGAACAGATTAAGGTATGAGTTTTTGTTTAAGCACTGTATTTTCAAACCAGAGGGAACTGGAAAGATCTGATCATACCAGACTGCATCACCAAGCCAAGTGAATCCATTATTGAAAGTTTCCTAGGTGACTGGTCAAGCACTGACTACAACCAGGGAATTTGGTTTGGGGTAAACATATTTCACACCTACCTCTACCTGGAGAATGCTAACAGAAAGGATTTCAAAAATCTGTACTTTACAAATGATGTAAATGACAAAATGTGGGCTGCAACAGATTCCTCCCATAGTCACTAAGTCAAAGTAAGTATTAAATCAATGTACAAGTACAGTTTGGCAAGTGAAAAATAATCTACCATTCTTTATGAGATATTATAGCTCTCTTATAATGGAACTCACAGTAATTCAACCTATACATTGTCCATGTATTTCAAGATTCACTATGGAGCCTGGTATGTTACTTGAGTTTTGTGGAATAGCAGAAACAGAATGATGTACCAAATCATAAAGGATTTCAATCTGAGCTATATAAAATGGAGAAAGCTGAGCAGACAAATAATGCAGTTTACATTGACATGAAACTGCAAAAGAACCTGTATTACACTTACAGCCAATGAAGCAATCTAAGTAGGCTACCTGAGCCAGGTTTGCAAACAGTTATAGAATAAACAGGAAGCCATTTTTTATAAAGGTATTATTCACATTAGAAATGTTTTCTTTTCAGCGTACTTGCCAATGGTCAATTTTTTAAAATTGCAGATGAAGAAGTTTAAAAGACTTTATTTCCATGTCTCTGCTGCACCACAGAATTTCAGGCGTATGTAGTACCTAAACAATTTTTAAGCGCAGAAGATATGTAATATAGCATTTACAGTCCATTTAGAATTTGTGTTTCTTTATAGACTACTTAGTCTTTGTACCAGTGTTTTTTGGGTGGCAGTGGTTTTTCTGTTGTTTGTTTGGGTTGGTTTGTTTTATTTTTTTTTTTAAAAAAAAAAAAAAAAATCTGTATCTGACCAAAGGGCAGAGAAACATGCTTCTATTCTGTCTACAATGCGTATGAAGAGACAATGCAAAGCGTATTAAATGATAGTTACCTTGGCATATTATAGAGGGCATTATTAACCAAATGAGGAAAGCAGCACCATTCTATTCTAGCTAGTAAGACATTACAGAAATATTAATCTAATTCCTGTAGGCTCCTGTGACTTTATTTAGATATTAATGACAACTTACACCAGTTTTACTGGCAGAGTTCCACTAAGCGTAGCATGGGAAATATTTGTTTCTTCCTGTGGAAGTGAGTGAAGAGAACGCTTCTGACCACCAAATACTTCTCCTTATTTCTTTCTAACCTTTTAACTTCATTCACTTTGAAAAAATCTATTCCTTGTTTGCTACATTTAGGTACAACAACTCCTTAGAACACCTGTCCCATTTGTGTCTAGTAACACAAATACAAAGTGACTTTCATGACCTCACAAGAGTGTAAATGTGCAAGTACAACACGGATCTCACCGGAGTAAGTGTATCCAAGTGCTGTTTCTATTTCAGAATTTGCTCAGCAACACCTATTTTAGCTGCAGCCACCCACAGCATCCGTGCTGTGTGGAGCAGGTTTGGTCCCACGAAGAGCCCTGCCAGGACAGAGGTTCAGTGCAGCACAGGAGCCCTTACCACAGGATGAGTCGCACGCAAACGTCTCACTGAGAGGGTTCAGTGACTGGCACAGAGTCCCCAGCAGCATCCCTGAGCCAGTTCCAGGGCTCCAGCTGTGCAATGAAGACCTAGGCACAGCAGCGGAAAGCTGTCTGCAATTACTCAGACCCCAAGTTACCACAGTGGCCCAGCACTCCCCAGCGAGCAAGCCACAAAATTCCCAGTCTTCACAA